ATCTAGACCACATTTTCCTAGTTTGCTTATGTTATGTGGGACTGTGTCAAAAGCCTGACTAAAATCAAGATATAGCATGTCTACTACCCCCCGCCTCCCACCCCCCCCACCCTCCCTGACGTCCACGAGGCCAATAACCCTGTCAAAGAAGGAAATTAGGTTGGTTTGGCATGATTTGTTCTCGACAAAACCATGCTGGTTATTACTCAGCACCCTATTATCCTCTGGGTGCTTACAAACTGATTGTTTGATAATTTGTTCCAGGACCTTTCCAGGAACTGAAGTTAGGCTGACTAGTCTGTAATTCCTCAAGTCCTCCTTTTCTCCCTTCTTTAAAAAACAGCACTATGTTTGCCCTTCTGCAATCCTCCTGGACCTCACCTGTGCTCTGAGTTCTCAAAGATAATCTGAGATTGCTTCAGTGGTTCCTTACGTACCCTCAGGTGAATTTCATCAGGCCCTGCCAACTTGAATACATCTAACTTATCATAATATTCTTTAACTTGTTCTTTCCCTATTCTGGCTTGCATTCCTTCCTGTTTGTTGTTGCTTAAGTATATTTTTCTTATGAAACTGTGGACACTTAAAAAATCCAGGAGAACATAAGTTAAGGTAGCATTCGTGCCCAACACAATACCAGTCTCCAAACATTAGACTGATACCGTCCATGATATTGATCCAGACCAACACACTGATACCCCTCTGACACACAATCATTTTCTGTTCCATAATAATATCCCCTCTTAATGCACACAGCCAAAAACTGAAAATCCCACTGCAGCGTGCACTCTGAACTTTGTCCTTCCAACACTACAATATTTAATTTAATGTCAGTTATTGTAAAAAATCAGTCCTAGCACGTCCACACAGCATGTACTTGGTATTGAACAGAAAGCTGATTTGACTCGCTGGTCAAAAATCACAAACGAACATCTGCTAGGTATTTACACTGTGACTTTTAAAAAATCAGATCAGCTATGCAATACCCACTGCCATTCAGAAATTCACACAAATATGATTGAAATGCACATGCTCATCCTCTTTCATAGGCATATCCATAGAAAGTTGTAACTAAATTACAGATTAGCAGGTCAGAGTTAAGGGTGTGGGCTGCAGTGTGATTTTTTTCAGTTGTAAGGTGTGTGATAGTATTGTATTAAAAGCAAGTATGTTAGAACTGGCTGGTCAGACAGTGTGACTGAGCAGCTCAAAACAAGAGGAAAACCAGCACTAAGTCAGCTAAAATAAATCACATGCATTCCTACTGTTAATTTTCTATGTAAGCTTTTGGAAATGGGAGGGGAGCTGTGGTCAGCAAGACAGGAAATGGGAAGGGAAACATCCTTAAGCCAATCTCTCTGTAAGTTGTAGTCCCCACTATGGAAAAAGTTTGAGATCTAGTAGTCACAGCACAGAACTGCGAGTCGAGTTCTGTTCTCTGCAGTGCCACAGACTTGCTGTGTGACCATTAGACTATTCCTTAACTTCCCCATGTCTCCGGTTCCTCATCTGTAAAACGGAGGTGATAATCCTTACCTACCTTTCAGGGGAGTTATGAGGCTAAATTTGTTACTGTTTGGGAAGTGCTTTGGGATCCTTGGGAGGTGCTGGAGAAATGCAGTGCATTTTTATTAACAATTATTAACAATTGCTTAACAATTTTATTTTATTTTATTAACAATTTATTAACAGTTATTAACAATTGCTACGAGCCCTTCCAAACATCACATGCATTTTTATTAATTTCCGTCAATAATTTAGAAAGGGCAAAAAAAGGCTTCTTACTGCAAGTATAAAATGACATTATGATGTTTGACCCCTAGGATGTTGTGATCACTGAGCAACCATTGACACTAAATTAATGATCCTTCACTAAGTGTGTTGCATTTGACCTAGATATAGGTGAGCTGTGGCTTCCTCATTGTTGCATTTATAACTTCTAGGAATTCTGGTTAGCAAGTTCCACTAGGCACCTCTTTTTGCAGTGTGGGAATGGTGTCTAGGCCAAAATCCTGGTACTTTTCAACCTCAGTTATCTTCTTCGTAGAAGCCAAAAGTTGTAATTTGCTCGCCATTTGGGGCACTCATTAGTGAGTAGTCAGTACACTGGATATAGATGCTCATTGTCTCTATTCCATATGTGATGCCTTCTAAATGCCAGGAACAAAAGGAATCGATGGCATTTGTCTTGACTCACTTCTCCAAACCTGGGCTAAAACTCTGCTTTAAGTACCACATGGAAATGAAGGTTATGATTTAATCTCTGCTTGTCTGCCTCACAAAACAACTGTGTGTGTGTATGTGCACGCGTGCGCAAAACTCGAAACTCAGCATTATAATGTCAGCGGCACTGCCGTTGATCAGGTCAAGGCTGACATGTGTTGACAGAGCTAGGAGGGGGTCCTAGGACTGGAGCAGCAGAGACTGCAGTATTCAGGACCACAGGGAGCTGGCAGAGCTGTGTATCTGGATTAATCTACAGTGGACTGGAATACGAGGGAGTGCTACAAATCAGGATTGAAGTATATTGCTCAACCTGTGTGTGGGAAATTTCCTGCTACTCACACTGACTAGTTAGCCAATGCCATCAGTTTCTCACTCTCTGCTGAACCCTAAAATCACCTGCTGATGTTGAGAAAGGCAGGCAGAGAAATCAAAAGATCTCTGCAGAAAGCGACTGTCACCTTTATGTGTATGCAGGGCTGGCTGCTGCTTTAGCTTTCATCTGCTTCCTTTGAAACTTGGGGAGGAATAATGCTCTTCTTCTGTGTGTGCATCTCCCTCTGTATTCCAACGGTTAGATTAAAGATGGCTGAAAGGATTTTTCTCTTGGGAACACATATACCAATTTCTTCCAGACTTGCATGCTGTTGTGTGATTATCTAAATTACTTGAAAAGGAAAGCTGCGTCATCATATCAGGCCCTTAATAAACAAGTTTGCAGCTTGGATTTGTTCAGTACTAGCACGTATTGCGATATGGAATGACGGTGCTCTGAGGCATACAGACTCATCTCGTTGCTTCTAACATCAGCTACTGTGCTTGCATGCTAGATAGGCAGTTGCACTGGGTATGTGGCAGGGCAATGACCATGCATCGAAGAGCAAGATAAAATTATCTGATGGGATTTTCAGAGGCACTCACTGTTGGCCTAACTTTGCGTCCACTTAAGTTCTTTACAATGGGCTTCAATGGGACCAGATTTAGGTCAATGCTGAATACTTCTGAAAATCCCCACTCTGTGTGTTGTGTGTGTCTCTGTCTGTCTGTCTGTTTGTCTGTGTGTATATATATCTTACGTTTGGGGAGTGCAATTTTCATTGATCAATACAGAGAAGTCTTTTGTTAACAAAATAAAGATGAGGGGTCAGATCCCCAGCTTGCACAAATTGATACAGCTCCATTGAACTTGCTAGAGCTATGCTGTTTTATACCAGCTGAGAATCTAGCCAACGATACAGGCGGAAGGAGTAAAATTCTTACCTAGATCTTCATTCTGAACATCCCAAAGTTGGGTGTGGTTGATGCAAACCCATCTTGGCTATGTAGCCAATTTGCCAAGAAACATGTGCTATGTCTGTTTCACAGATCAAATTCTGTGCTTGGTTACATCAATGAAAATCCAGAGCAGCTCCACTGAAGAGTGCCCCTGGTGTAAATAGGAGTGGAATTTATCTCTTGTATTGTAAGCCTTTTGGGACAGTGACCTTGTCTTCCTCTTTGTACTCTCCATGGCAAAGAATATATTGGTTGCTCAGGAAATGAAGAATAAATAAAATATCTTGTGACTGTGTGAGTAAGCAAACAAAGCCGATAGATGAGTTTGTCCTGTGCACTTCGTTCATTTACTTTGACAAGCACATTTTAATTTTAATTGTTTATGCTACTTCTACATGATATACTACAGGGCATTTACTGCTATTTTAAGAAGTAATGCAATCTTGGTGATAATGAGGCCACGTTACATTGATGTCTCCATGAGTTAAGTCTCTGAGGATTGGAGTGAGGCCACTAGGTTACTGTGAGACTCCTCAGCAAAGTCTGAGAACTAGTGAGGTTTTCTGTCTGTCTTACTCTGGATTAGCTTCTGCAGCAGCATCATGTGATCACTTATCTATTCTACTAATACTTGGTAAAACCAGCAAGTGGTTTATAACATCAGGGATTATGCTCAGACACACAGTGCTTTCCAAAAATAAAATGAATGCTGTTCTGAGAGCCCTTCAGATAATATTGATTGACCAATAAAGAAAAGACCAGAGTATCAGAGACTGGTTTGAGGGCACAGAAGTGAAATGTTTCCCTTGGTTACTTTGACAATGAAATACATATCTTCAGGCACGCGACTATGAGCTGTATTGATCATTTCTGCACTGCATGGGCATCCAGGGAGCACTGTCTAAACTCCCCAAATCCAGTTTCCGCACACGCTAGGCACAGTGAGAAATCTAAGCTGAATTCTCAGGCTCCATGTAATGCAGAGTCCTCTTTCTGATCGTGATCAGCACCATCTGCTTCAGAGGCAGGTTCAAGAAACCCGAAGTGGGCAGTTCTGAGAGAGCCTGCTCAAAGCACTACATTCCTTCTGACTCCCAAAGATCAAAGGTTGGCTTATGCCGGAAGTGGGAGGGTTTGTATCCCTTCCATTAGCTTTTTTTTTGTAGTGTTTGTTTATTGTTAGAATGGTGGTTCTTTTTGTAAGCCATATAAATGTCTTGGTCTCTTGGGTTATTGCAAAGCCCTGATCAGGATTTTGGAGTGGACACCCCCATTGCACCCTACACCCCCATCAGGACCCACCATGCCAGCAACCTAATATCCCTCTTTACGTTAAATGCCTAAATACAGTAGTCATCTGGTGTGCCCTAGACGTACCTCTGACAGGCAGGCAGGGCTTGGGGAAGCTAATAAGAGTACAGTTCTATAAAGCGGATGACTTGGTCTCTCTCGCCCTGGGGCACCTCCTTTGGCTGATCTCCTGTCTCTGTCTCGCTTTCTAGGTTCTACTGGGATCTGACCATGCTGCTCCTGATGGTGGGAAACCTGATCATTATCCCTGTGGGCATCACTTTCTTCAAGGACGAGAACACCACCCCATGGATCGTTTTCAATGTGGTCTCAGACACCTTCTTCCTCATCGACCTGGTCCTCAACTTCCGGACCGGCATCGTGGTAGAGGATAACACCGAGATCATCCTTGACCCCCAACGAATTAAGATGAAGTACCTGAAGAGCTGGTTCGTGGTGGATTTTATCTCCTCCATCCCTGTGGACTATATCTTCCTGATTGTGGAGACCCGTATCGACTCGGAGGTTTACAAGACTGCCCGGGCTCTGCGTATCGTACGCTTCACCAAAATCCTCAGCCTTTTGCGCCTGCTAAGGCTCTCCAGGCTCATCCGCTACATCCACCAATGGGAGGAGGTGAGCAGAGGCTGTGTTTCATGTTCACTTGGGTCCTGAGGCCCCTTTCCCCTCACACCAGGAGCGCGGTTCCTCCCACTTCACACCACTGTAAGTGGGAGAAGACTTGGGTTCTAGATGTGGCTCTTGGCAAGTTGTCAGGAGGACCCTCAACCTGGCAAAATTTAGGCACTGTTGCTTTAGACTGTACTGTCTCTTTAAGGGTCATGATGTAACGTTGGATGATGTTGCACTGTTTAAAATGAGAGTAAATTCAGGTCATCCCACTGCATGTCATATGAGATTGTAGAGTACCCGCAAGGAGAAATGGATAGCCAGTCTGCCTGCTGTTGCTTTTCCAGAGCCAGAAAGCACTACCAGGTAAATCACCTAGGGCAGGGGTTCTCACAACAAACTCACAACTCTGAGTGTGGCCACGAAATCGTGCAGGGGGCCGCTCTGACAATCTTTCCTAAAATATTTAATTAACTCTAGGAAAAACAAATAAATATGCACAGATATATATCCAAGTTCCGACCCACCTCTGTCCCTATCTCCAGTGGCCTTTCAGCAAGAGCCCACCCTGGGGAAGGTGGGTTGGGAACTCATCGGCTGCCTGCAGAGTCCCAGGCTCTCCATGCCTTGGCTGGGTGGGAGTGGGGGAGCTGATCAGAGGAGCACCCCAACAACCGAACATTGTAGCTGCTTTCACAGACAACAGTTGCCACAGGCCCCACGCACACTGGCCCCTCGTGTCTCCAGAGGCGCTGCCCAGAATGCAGGGCACTGATCCCTGCTGGTGGAACATGCTGTTGGTAACAGCTATTCAGGAGCAACAGCTGGGTGCTGCAGGCAGGGACCACTGCTTTCTGGGGGGGGAGATGGAGGGTAAGGGGTGGACTGTGACTTAAGCTGTTCGGGAGGTGGTGGAACCTTTACATTGTCTCCCCCCCCCACACACACACTATAAATGTATACATTGGGGAGGGGCAATGCCCCCAAATTTCCATCCATACTTTAGAGGCTGTCGTGGCCACAAAAAATCTGCAGGTGTCTGCGTTTGAGAAACGCTGACTTAGGGTATCAGCCTCTCTGCAGGTGCCTGCACAGACATGGACGTGGCCACAGATACATGTTTTCATGAACCTGCAGCACTTGTTTATCCAAGTGACTTAGTTCATTACATGCTTATCTCTTGAGTAAAGAGCTTGGTGATGTATTTATAACCTGCCAGCTTTTCTAAATTCTCAAGCGCCATGTTCAGGGGAAAAAGAAGCCAGACAATCTGTCGGCAAACAGGCATTGCTTGGTGATAAGGAGAAACCTAACAATCCGGCCCCCCGCACCTCCCTGGCCCTGCAAGGAAATTCCAACTTATGGGTGCTGGTACTCTGGTTCCCAGGTTGGTTTGATTGGAGCCCCCTGCCTTGGCTATGGCCTAAGAAATGATCACCTCCCAGTCCCTTGCTCCCTCCACAGGAGCAGGGAAGGAGCACCTGATACTTATACCCATGTCTCAGGAGCATTTCTGCAGTGGAGGAAAGGCTGGTCAAGTGTCATGCATTTTTCTCTTCTCTGTACCCCAGCTAGTCCTGGGTTCCCCAGTTTTGGGAGCACTGATTTTATGCAATTGTGCCATTTCCTGTTATGCTTCCCACAGTGGCATGGCTAAGGAGGGAGTGTCCGCAGTCACTGTGAAATCCCTGGGGTTCATCTGTGTGTCCTTATTAATAATAATTTGTATTAGAGTAGTGCTAAGGGTCCCCAATCAAGATCGGAGCCCCATTATGCTTGGCACTGTGTGGGGAGACAGTGAGGGGCAGTCGCCCCAAATAGCTTGTAAATAGAGAAGACAGATGAAAGTGGGGAAGAAAAGTAGAGGCATGGGCGGAGGGAGTGGCTTTCCCCAGACACCGCAGGTCAGAAGCAGAGCTGGGAACAGAATCCAGGCCTCCTCGTTCCAATCAGAGAGCAGAAACAATACCATATGAATTAAGTGTCCAAACACACAATATGAATTGTGAGTAGATGAAGCAAACGAATCCATAGCCTGAAAATTGTCCGTCCAAAACCGAACATTAATACTGATGAATAAATATGACTGATAAGATCAGTATCCATTCACAAATGACTCAGAATAGGATTAATTCAGGCACAAATATTTGTGATGAGTAGAATCATAGGACTGGAAGGGACCTTAAGAGGTCATCTAGTCCAATCCCCTGCACTCATGGCAGGACTAAGTATTCTCTAGACCATCCCTGAGAAGGTGTTTGTCTAACCTGTTCTTAAAAATCATAAAATCATAGACTTTAAGGTCAGAAGGGACCATTATGATCGTCTAGTCTGATCTCCTGCACAATGCAGACCACAGAATCTCACCCACCCACTCCTGTAACAAACTTCTAACCTATGTCTGAGCTATCGAAGTCCTCAAATCATGGTTTAAAGACTTCAAGGTGCAGAGAATCCTCCAGCAAGTGACCCATGCCCCACACTGCAGAGGAAGGCGAAAACCACCCAGGGCCTCTGCCAATCTGCCCTGGAGGAAAATTCCTTCCCGACCCCAAATATGCCAGTCAGCTAAACCCTGAGCATGTGGGCAAGACTCACCAGCCAGACACCCAGGAAAGAATTCTCTGTAGTAACTCAGATCCCACCCCATCTAACATCCCATCACAGGCCATTGGGCATATCTACCACTAATAGTTGATCAATTAATTGCCAAAATTAGGCTATCCCAACATATTGTCCCTTCCATAAACTTATCAAGCTTAGTCTTGAAGCCAGATATGTCTTTTGCCCCCACTGCTTCCCTTGGAAGGCTATTCCACAACTTCACTCTGATGGTTAGAAACCTTCATTTAATTTCAAGTCTAAACTTCCTAACAGCCAGTTTATATCCATTTGTTCTTGTGTCCACATTGGTACTGAGCTTAAATAATTCTCCCCCCTCCATGGTATTTATCCCTCTGTTATATTTATAGAGAGCAATCATACCTCCTCTAAGACTTCTTTTGGTTAGGCTAAACAAGTCAAGCTCTTTGAGTCTTCTTTCATAAGACAGGTTTTCCATTCATCAGATCATCCTAGTAGCCCTTCTATGTACCTGTTCCAGTTTGAATTCATCTTTCTTAAACATGGGACACCAGAACTGCACACAATATTCCAGATGAGGTCTCACCAGTGCCTTGTATAATGGTACTAACAGCTCCTTATCACTACTGGAAATACCTCGCCTAATGCATCCCAAGACCGCATTAGCTTTTTTCACAGCCATATCATGAAAAAAGCGGCTCATAGTCATCCTGTGATCAACCAATGATGGAGATTCCACAACCTCCCTAGGAAATTTATTCCAGTGCTTAACCACTCTGACAGTTAGGAAGTTTTTCTTGATGTCCAACCTAAACCTTCCTTGCTGCAATTTAAGCCCATTTCTTCTTGTCCTTCTTGTCTTAACCTCAGAGCTTAAGCAGAACAATTCTTCTCCCTCCTCCTTGTAACAACCTTTTATGTACCTGAAAACTGTTATCATGTCCCCTCTCAGTCTTCTCTTTTCCACACTAAACAAGCCGAATTTTTTCAGTCTTCCCTCATAAGTCATGTTTTCGAGACTTTTAATAATTTTTGTTGCTCTTCTCTGGACTTTCTCCAATTTGTCCACATCTTTCCTGAAATGTGGTGCCCAGAACTGGACACAACACTCCAGTGGAGCCCTGATTAGTGCAGAGTAGAGTGAAAGAATTACTTCTCGTGTTTTGCTTACAACGCTCCTGCTAATACATCCCAGAATGATGTTTGCTTTTTTTGCAACAGTGTTACACTATTGACTCATATTTAGCTTGTGGTCCACTATGACTCCCAGATCCCTTTCCGCAGTACTCCTTCCTAGGCAGTCATTTCCCACTTTGTATGTGTGCAATTGATTGTTCCTTCCTAAGTGGAGAACTTTGCATTTGTCCTTATTGAATTAAATCCTATTTACTTCAGACCATTTCTCCAGTTTGTCCAGATCATTTTGAATTATAATTCTATCCTCTAAAGCACTTGCAACCCCTCCCAGCTTGGTATCATCTGCAAACTTTATAAGTGTAAACTCTCTATGCCATTATCTAAATCACTGATGAAAATATTGAACAGAACCAGACCCAGAACTGATCCCTGCGGGACCCCACTCACTATGTCCTTCCAGCATGACTGTGAACCACTGATCACTACTCTCTGGGAATGGTTTTCCAACCAGTTATGCACCCACTTTACAGTTGCTCCATCTAGATTGTATTTCCCTAGTTTGTTTATGAGAAGGTCATGCAAGACAGTATCAAAAGCTTTATTAATGTCAAGATATACTATGTTAACTGCTTCCCCCATCCACAAGGCTTATTACCTGTCAAAGAAAGCTATCCGATTTGTTTGACATGAGTATTCTGACTCTCTCTAACCCAGGAGTTTGTAGTGTTGAAGGAGCATGAATCTGTTCCTTTCTGTGCTATTGTTCTGCTGGTCCAAGAGAATTAAATAATTTGGCTGCTTCTTGTACTGAACTTGTTTAAAACATCAGCAATTAAGAGCTAATCAGGAACCCTCTTCCCCTGCTACTCTCCTATCTCACAGTGGGCAGCGGCCCCTAATTTTGAGTCTGATAACATGACTAATGTGTGGTTTATTGCACCTTTGCTGCCGGCGACACTAAGCCCAGGGGTGGCTACCATTCGCATTACATCTCCAGATGCTCTGGAACACTCTGAAGATCGTGCTCTCCAGCGAGGTGTTATGCTGCAAGTGGAAGGGACAGGTGGCGACGTATTGCCACTGGGGACTGCAATGCAGATCCCAGCAGTGCAAGCCCAGCCCTTTCTTTGACACAGGACTGAGCCAAAACAGCTGGTTCTCAGGGATGACCCAATGGTAGGAAGGTTTCTTGGTTTTGGGTGGAGCAGCAAGAGATGTCCTTGTGGGGTGTCACATGCTACAAAGCAGTGAGGTGTCAGGGAGGAGAGTTACTCCTCCTCCTTGGG